ATCTAAAATCGACATCCTAACATCACAATTAAAAGAACTAGAGAAACAAGGGCAAACATATTCAAAAGCTAGCAGAAGACAAGAAATAACTAAGATCAGAGCAGAACTGAAGGAAATAGAGATATGAAAAACCCTTCACAAAATCAGTGAATCCAGGAGCTGGTTTTTTGAAAAGATCAACAAAATAAACCATTAGCCAGACTAATAAGAAAGAGAGCAGCATCAAATAGACACAATAAAAAATGATAAAGGGGGGATCACCACTGATCCCATATAAATACAAACTACCATCATAGAATACTATAAACACCTCTATGCAAATAAACTAGAAAAAATGGATAAATTCCTGGACACATACACCCTCCCAAAGACTAAACCAGGATGAAGTCAAATCCCTGAATAGACCAATAAGTTCTGAAATTGAGGCAACAATTGGTAGCCTACCAACCAAAAAAAGGTCAGGACTAGAACGGATTCACAGCCGAATTCTACCAGAGGTTTGCAGAGGAGCTGATATCATTCCTTCTGAAGCTACTCCAAACAATCCAAAAAAAGGGAATCCTTCCCAAATCATTTTATGAAACAAGCATTATCCTGATACTAAAACCTGGCAGATACACAACAAAAAAAGAAAATTTCAGGCCAATATCCCCAATAAATGTTGATGCAGAAATCCTCAATAAAATACTGGCAAACTGAATCCAGCACCACATCAAAAAACTTACTCACTGTGATCAAGTTGGTGTCATCCCTGGGATGCAGGGCTGGTTTAACATACACAAATCAATAAACATAATTCATCACATAAACGGAACCAATGGCAAAACCGCATGATTATCTCAATAGATGCAGAAAAGGCCTTTGACAGAATTCAACAGCCCTTCATGCTAAAAACTGTCAGTAAACTAGTTACTGATGGAATGTATCTCAAAATAATAAGAGCTATTTAAGACAAACCCACAGCCAATATCATACTGAGTGGACAAAAACTGGAAGTATTCCCTTTGAAAACTGGCACAAGACAATGATGCCCACTCTCACCACTCGTATTCAACATAGTATTGGAAGTTCTGGCCAGAGCAATTAGGCAAGAGAAATAAATAAAGCGTATTCAAATAGGAAAAGAGGAAGTCAAATTGTCTCTATTTGCAGATGACATGATTGTATATTTGGAAAACCTCATCGTCTCAGCCCAAAGTCTCCTTAAGTTGATAAGCAGCTTCAGCGAAGTCTCAGGATACAAAATCAATGTGCAAAAATCACAAGCATTCTTATACACCAGTAACAGACAAACTGAGAGCCAAATCATGAGTGAACTCCCATTCACAATTGCTATAAAGAGAATAAAATATTTAGGAATACAACTTACAAGGGATGTGAAAGACCTCCTCAAGGAGAACTGCAAACCACTGCTCAAGGAAATAAGAGAGGACACAAACAAATGGAAAAGTAGTTCATGCTTATGGGTAGGAAGAATCAATATTGTGAAAATGGCCATTCTACCCAAAATAATTTATAGATTCAATGCAATCCCCATCAAGGTGCCATTGACTTTCTTCACTGAATTGGAAAAAACCTACTTAAATTTCATATGGAACCAAAAGAGAGCCCGCATAGGCAAGACCATCCTAAGCAAAAAGAACAAAGCTGGAGATATCACACTACCTGACTTCAAACTATACCATAAGACTACAGTAACCAAAACAATGTGGTACTGGTACCAAAACAGACATATAGACCAATGGAAAAGAACAGAGGCCTCAGATATAACACTGCACATCTACAACCATCTGATCTTTGACAAACCTGACAAAAACAAGCAGTGGGGAAAGGATTCCCTATTCATTAAATGGTGTTGGGGGAACTGGCTAGCCATAAGCAGAAAGCTGAAACTGGATTCCTTCCTTATATCTTATACAAAAATTAACTCAAGATGGATTAAAGACTTAACATGTAAGACCTAAAAGCATAACAACTCTGGAAGAAAACTTAGGCAATACCTTTCAGGACATAGGCATGGGCAGAGACTTCATGACTGAAACACCAAAAGCAATGGCAACAAAAGCTATAATAGACAAATGAGGTCTAATGAAACTAAAGAGCTTCTGCACAGTAAAAGAAACTATCATCAGAGTGAACAGGCAACCCACAGAATGGAAGAAAATTTTTGCTGTCTATCCATCTGACAAAGGGCTAATATCCAGAATCTACAAAGAACTTAAAGAAATTTACAGAAAAAAAACAAACAACCTCATCCAAAAGTGGGCAAAGTATATGAATACACATTTCTCAAAATAAGACATTTGTGCAGCCAACAAACATGAAAAAAAAGCTTATCATCACTGCTCATTAGAGAAATGCAAAGTAAAACTACATTGAGATACCATCTCGCACCAGTTGGAATGGTGATCATTAAAAAGTTTGGAAAGAACAGATTCTAGGGAGGAAGTGGAGAAATAGGAATGCTTTTACACTGTTAGTGGGAGTGTAAATTAGTTCAACCATTGTGGAAGACAGTGTGGCAATTCCTCAAGGATCTAGAACCAGAAATACCATTTGACCCAGCAATCCCATTACTGGGTATATACCCAAAGGAGTATAAATCATTCTACTAAAAAGACACATGCACATGTATGTTTATGGTGGCACTGTTCACAATAGCAGACTTGGAACCAACCCAAATGCCCATCAGTGATACACTGAATAATGAAAATGTGGCACATATACATCATGGAATAGTATGCAGCCATAAAAAAGGATGAGTTCATGTCCTATGCAGGGACATTAATAAAGCTGGAAACCATCATTCTCAGCAAACTAACACAAGAACAGAAAACCAAACACCGCATGTTCTCACTCATAAGTGGGACTTAAACAATGAAAACACATGGACACAGGGAGGGGAACATCACATATTGGAGTTTGTAGAGGGGTGGGGGATAGGGGAGAGATAGCATTAAGCGAAATACCAAATGTAGATGACGGGTTGATGGGTGCAGCAAACCACCATGGCATGTGTGTACCTATGTCACAAACCTGCACATTCTGCACATGTACCCCTGAACTTAAAGTATAAAAACAAAACAAAAACAGAGGAACAAGGAACAGAAGAAACAAACAGAAAACAATAAAATGGTAAACTTAAGACCAGTATTTATCTTAAAAGGATACAATATGAAAAAAAGGAAAAATGGACCCTGAAAAAGGATTTGTCTGTGAAAATGATTTTTTTTTTTTACAGGAAGTATTCCTGTTGTAATGGGAGATATTTATGAGTAGATTCTAATTACCTTGTATTGTAAAAGTGAAAGTCACACTGTACTCTCAGTAAATTTATGATTTGTTCTTTCCTAATTTCAACAGTTTTTAGGCAGTATTGAAGAAGGTTTACTTGCAAACAAAAATTGTTTTGTACGTGTTTCATTTGAATTCTTTAGTGGCTAAATGAGACCACTGCAGAATTCTGATGAGTGGTTAAACTGACAAAGTTCACAGAAAAGGAGTATAAACTATATAAATATTATAAGGAACATTTAGAATCACAATAATAAGAGAATTCAGGTTGAAGCAGCAATTAGAGGTGTTTTTTTTTTTTGCCTATCAGATAGATAGGGATTAATTAATTTCATAGTTTCTAATTGTAATGGGGTATGAAAAAATAGTTGCTGTTATATACAATTAGAAGTATACATTTGATTAACATATTCTAAGGCAGTTTTAGAGGAATGACCAACTTTTAGCATGTTAATTTGCATTCAGCAATTCAGATTATGGGAAGCTGTCTATAAGAAGTACGCTTAATTGTTCACAGTAACATATATAGACCAGCGTTTTTTTTAAATGTTATTTGCAGTGGAGAAAGGCTAGAAAGCTTGGTTATGTCCTGGTATCGGGAAATGTTTTAAAGTAAAAACTAATATATATTAACACTTCACACAAAAAAAATTTCACAAAGAGCATACATTATTTAGCTATCTTGGTATAACTTTCATAATATTTCTCAGTTCCAAAATGTATTGAGGATACTTTAATAAAGAGTTTTGTTGTGAAATCATTAATTTGAATAATTGTTAATTTCAAACATACCCAAATGTAAATTAAAGCTTCAACAAAACAAACACAAGTAACATTTAATTTACTGTCCTGATTGTTAGTCCACTTATTTCTATGGTTAATCAGGTTGAACATCACATATGTGTATTTTCAGAGACTAAAAGTCACCTCATATGTTTACATCAGTAGCATATTTCTTCTAATTTAAAAATTTTTTGCCAATTTTTTAAGGCCTAGACTGATGCTACCCTGTCTTCGGGGTTTTGTTAATTATTCATCTTTAAGTTATTGCCATCTCTGTTGAATTCTGATTTAACATTTTTCTGTATTTTTATCTCATCACTTTCTATACTATTAATAGCAATAATACTGTTTTTTGTACTTTAAATAATACATTATTCACTGTTTTATTTGCTTTACCTATATTATCAGATTTTTCATATGAGCCCATAATAAGGTAGACATTACTATCCTGATTTTACATTGAAGAAACTAAAATGTTCAGATGTTAAATACATTACTCAGAGTCACATAATTAAGGTTAAAGTTTAGGTTTCAAATTCAGGTATGTTTGCTACAAAACCTTGTCACTATGTTAGGCTGCCTCATAAGTGAGTAAGGCAAATGAAATAAATGCTTTGTGTGTTTAAAATAAATTTTGTTATAAAGGAAAGGAAATAATCAATGAATTAATAAAATGTTCAAATTGCAGACTTTAAATACAGTTTGAATTTTATACTAGTCATAAGATCAGTGTTAGTAAATAATACCAGTAAATATAATGAGATAATCAGCTAACAAAAAATTAAGAAAAAATTTAAATTTAGTTATTTGCTACATATATATACGTAAATTTTAAGTTAGAATTATACCATTTGTTATATAGTTTATGCCATGTACAAATGAATGAAAAAAATGAAAAAAAATTTTACTTTTTTTCTTTCTAGAATCCTGGAGGCGGAAATGGAGTTGATCTTTCAGTGCTAAATGAGGCCCGCAATATGGTGTCAGATCTTCTGATTGATCCAAGCCTTCCACCACAAGTTGTTTCCTCTCTACGGAGTATCAGTAGCTTAATGAGTGCTTTTTCAGGTTCCTGTAGGCCAAAGATTAATCCTCTCACACCATTTCCTGGATTTTATCCCTGCTCTGAAATAGAGGATCCAGCTGAGAAAGGGGATAGAAAACTTAACAAGGTCAAAATACAAAAATCATGCAACCCTATTTATCAAATTTAATGATATTTTCAAATTAAATGCTCCTTTAAAGTCTATATAAAATACAATTTTCCTTTCATGAACCAGACATAATATAGAGCTGCTTGGGATGTTATAGGCCTTTATAAGCTCAAATAATTATAGAAGGGTATTTAGTTTTTTATTTTAAATACATTGCTGTGATTAGTAGTTATAATTTGAATGGTAACTATGTATTATTATGCTTGTTAAGAAGGAGGCTACAACAAGCAAATTTCGTTTCAGGCTTGTACAACAAACAAGTAGTCAAATCATGTTATTGCTCTGTTTTATTCTTTAGAATCCAGGAATTGTTCTTGTTGAACCAAGAAGAAATGGTCATTATAATATTCATTTTATGAATTACATAGCATTGTTTTAAAATTATTTTTTTTGTTTTTGAACCCTCTTTTCCCCTTGTTACCTACTGCAGATTACTGTAGTTCAGTAAGCATTAATTTTTCTATCATTAGAATAGAGGATTAATTTCACTATTAATATTTCAAAATAGAATTTTCTTTAGAAAATAAATACTGTTCGAAATGGATATGCATTATCCTTGTTCAGAGTGCTTCTACTTGTTTTATTTGACTATTATTAATATCTTTGACAATAGCTAAAATCATAAAAGTTCAAAACTAGAAACATTTAAAAAATTATTTAACTCAACCACTTTATTCCAGATAAGGAAGCTAACCAAGAAAAGATAAAATTTGTTTCAGTTAATTTTGTCAATTGTAATAAAGTTTATAGAACTTAGAAATAGGTAAATACAGTTTTTGTAGGGATTCTGATCATCAGTTAATTTTATCAGTTGTCAGCATTGGGGTTTAGAAATGTTGAAAAGTTAAGCAAACCCAATTAGAGGAAAAGGATTTCAGAAGTCTTCATCACAATCTGGATCATAGTTATGTGATGCTTTTATTTTCTTAAAGTTTAAATAGTAGCACCTACATTAGTCAAACCCAATTAATTAGTGCTTAGTTATGTGACTTCTATTTTAGCACTCTACCTTATAAGAAAGAGGTTAATCACAAGCATCCAGAGGGCATAGCAATAAACCATCAGTAAAATAACTCTAATATATTCTTGAGGCAGTTTTCACTCTGTAGTACTCTTCTTTGCATTTTCTATTAATATTTGATAGGATAGAAATTTTTAAAAATAGTAATTCTTAAAATTTTTAATAAAAAATCATATTGATATCAGTATTTAGTGTGTAGAAAAATGTACTAGTACATTTTAGAAACATTTTAAACATAATGTTAATTAAACAGGATGCCTAAATGCCTCATTTCCTGAGCATTGTAGTTAATCAAGGTTAATTTAGGTTCTGGAATCTACTGATAGTAAGTCATATAAGAACCAGGAAGTAACCCTTATTCCTTTTCTTTATGTTCTTTAAACTCCTTATTAGAATTCTGTATCTAATTTGTCTCTCCTTTTGGAAAGCATATAAGAAGCCTGATGCTACTTCAGAGAAGAGCAACAACATTTATAGAAAACAACAGTAGACAAAAGGGAAAAGGAACAGTTAACATAAATTATAGTCAACAAGGATGTTAACATAAAGAACTTTTTCCCGGAGGTCTAATTAACTATTAACCTTTACAAAATCAGTGCCCTTGAGAAAACTGATATATAAGACAGATACTTATCTCTGAGATTGCTGCAGTGTCTGATGATAGAGGAAATTCATAAGAAGCAGAAACTATTATGTAAATCTCAGTAAAACACTTATTTATAATGGTCAAAAATGGAATATTATTATTAATTGAACATTTGGGTTAGTTGAGAATGTTTTAAAAAATTAGGGCAAAATGCTAAAAGTGTTCTGTATTTAACTCAATCATTTATTTAAGCTCAGAATCCTGCAGTTTCTCTTGATTAACCACTAAGTAAGTAAATTCTATAGCACTGTATTATAAAAAATTTAGATTATAGGGCTGATCATCCCTGATCCTAAGATTGTCCTCTGAAGTTGATTTTCAGGGTAAATCTTTCATATCCACTTTTTAGATTGCTAATTGTTTCTTTCTCATGAAACAAGCAATAAAATTACAAAAGAAAAAGAATCTAGTTTAAATTAGAGTTCAGACATATTTTTTAGTAGGGGGAAGGGGAATAGAAAAACAAAATAGAGTGTAAAATTTGGAGTAAATTGACAGATTTTCAGAATAGAATGTTCCTTTTTTCTTCACACATGTTAAAAATATACTTATTGACATTTTCATGTGCCATCATTAATATTACATACATGGCCTATAAAAGAGTGACATTTTTAACCATTATTAAATTATTCAGCAGGGACTAAATAGGAATAGTTTGCAAACTCCACAGCTGAGGAGGAGCTCAGTTACTTCAGGATTGCTACCTGTTGAACAGTCTTCAAGGTGGGAACGTAATAATGGCAAAAGGCCTCACCAAGAATTTGGCATTTCAAGGTAAAATCTGCAGAGCCTTTTAAAAAACTTTAATCGAATGCATCTACTTTGTTTCTGTCAATACTGTTTCAAATAATTTTAGAAGTAGAAAGGAATGGTTGAAGTATTTTTGGTATAGGACAACATGTGTAGTAATAATATGGTATAGTAGAGAATATGGTTATTTAAAAGAAGCTAATGTGTCTTGTCCTAAAACTTGATAGGCTGGGTACAAAATGTGCTGGATCCCTGGGAACATAAGATAGTTTGGGGAAATTAGGAACAACTTAGGACTAGGTGCTGGGAAAGTTTTAAATTGCTAGAAGTGGCCATTACAGGGCTAGTCACCAACCCAATGAATAGTATCCAGAGGAAGGTCTGCAGAGTTACTGACTCTTGAAAAGAGGAGCACGTTTCCAAGGTTCATCACAGTTGTTATGTTTAAGGTAACCAGACTTTCAAATCCTGTTCCTGCTGGAGGATGAGACAACTAATATATTTTATATTCTGCTGAGGCTTTACTGGGAACCACACAATGCTAATTCTGTAAATGAAAGGCATCAGTAATTAAGTAAATGGGGCTGGGAAAATGCAAGAGCTGAAATCTCCCAAATGTAAATGTATACATTTACCCTGATAACAAAGGATTTAATAATACAATACTTTGTCTTTTGAAAGCCAGGAAAAATAATGATCTCTTGCATGGGTTTATTATGTTTCTCTTTACTCAGCTATCTAATTACATTATTGTAAAATTGGAATTGGTATAAATTCTGTGTTAACCACTTTCTATTATTACTGAGCATGTTTCTTACTTTTGAGCTGTATGATTTCACATTTGAAACAGTAGATGGCAGGATTGGATCACAGTTATTTGTTAAAATTTATGTTAACATGTACATGTGCAAGATAATTATAATTTTCTGGATTCTTTGGTGGTTTATTAATTTGAATCTTGTATAATATATTCAGGTAGGTGAACTACTTTTTGAAAAAGAAAAATTGAATGAAATGATGTCTAAAACAGGAGTGGATTGAAGTATGAAGAGTACAGTACAGGAAAATGAGCATTACTCCAAAATTTGCTATGGCCTGAACCTCATAGTCTTTTTTCTTTTTCTTTTTCTTTTTCTTTTTGTAAAGGAAGTAGGATATAGGGAAATGAATGATGTCAGGAACAGAAAATGTAACAGTAATTCATAACTATAGGTAGCATTATTTTGAGAATATTGTTGGGTTTTAAAAGGAATAATAAAAATGTTTTTTATTTTAACCTTTCATACTCATGTAACAGCAATGTATTTGCAGTTAAAGAAACATTTGATACATTGAGTTAAGGTCATTTTTATCCTGCTGCCTCAGACAATTGATGTAAAATAGAAACATAGTCTGGAGAAAACTAATCTTTAACTCTGAAAAGTGTTTATTACATAAAACTAAATGTAGGCAGATTCTATATAATGACTTAACTCTTATTAAAATAAAATTATATGCCTCATAAAAGATTTAGAAATTTGGAGAATAAAGCAATTGGTGGTATTACAGACATCTATTTTAAAGAGATCAGGCTAGAGATTTTTTTTCTAGTTTGTAGAAGCTGGAGCCTCTTGGTAATTAGTGTCTACCTGTACTTTGCACATAGGTGAGTTATGATGGGAATACATGAAACATTTACAACCATTATTCCTTTTCAAATTCAAGTCTCTGGATCAGTGCTGTCCAATAGAAATTTTTGCAATGATGGAAATAGTATGTATCTGCACTGTGCAATATGGTACTCCGTAGCTAAATGTGGCTGTTAATCATTTGAAATGTGTCTAGTATGACTAAGGAATTGAATTTTAAATGTGACTTAATTTTTATTAATTTAATTCAGATATAAAGAGCCATATATGACTGTTTTGTAGAGATATGTGACATCCATATTAGTGCAGCTCTAGATCTTTAAAGCATAGTGATGTTTTATTCAGGAACCTTCAGACTTTAGTAGGACAAAACTAAGACTTACGACTCAGGAATCATCTTGACTTTAATTATTCGAGTACTCTAGAATCGAGATCTCGTATTTTTGATTTTGAGTCTTGAGCTTTGGATACTGATCACAGTTTGCCTGACTGATTTTAACATGCTTCCAGTGTTGAACCACTTATTTCCTGAACCTATGCCTGTAACCAGATTTCTCATCACTCCAGCTGCTTTTTCATCTGTTACTATTGTTCTGAACTTATTTCTTGGCACAATGTTGCCATCCTCTAGTGGAGTGGTTGCTTACAAAAGTGATTTACCTAGAGACCTTGGTGTTATCTTTGCATCCTGTTACCTTATTCTACAGATAACAGTTATCAGATATCGTTCTACATTATATTTTACTCTCATTCCTTCTTCTCCTTTATCACTTTTCCTATACTGTTTTATGCTTCTATTACTACTTACTTGGGCTATTGAATTAGCCTCTTAATTCCAGTTTCCAGTATCCTTCTTGACTTGTTTCGCCTTCCACCTCCCACTAGAAATCTTCCTTAAATAAAACTGTGATTACAGTTGTCCCTGGGTCTCCTTAGGGGATTGGTTCCAGGCCTTTCCCCTTCCCATACAAAAATCCATGGATGCTTGAGTCCTTTATATAAAATGGTGTAGTATTTGAATATACTCTCTACCCATCCTTTCATATACTTTAAATCACTGCTAGATTACTTATAATACCTAATGTAATGTCAATGCTATGTAAAGAGTTGTTATACTGTATTTTTTTATTTGTATTAGTTTTTATTATTGTGGTTTTTTTTTTCCCCTGAATATTTTTGATTTGGGGTTGGTTAAATCTGTAGATATAGAAACCTCACATACCGAAATCTGAATTCATGTGGTTTTTCTAGTCATTGCATTTTTTGGACTCTTTAGTAAGTGCTTATAGAATAATGCCCAAATTCCTAGTGTAGAATGTGAAACCCAATTATTACCTCATGACAAAGCTGCAACCCTTACTTGAAAAAAGTAAATGAACTAACATAGATGAGCAGTCTTTCAAATAATGAGAATAGAAAAATGATATGGAAAACTTTCTAAGTAAAAATAATAGGTATGTAACTTGTTTAAGATTCTTCCTTGATGTTTTCTGAATAATTTTGTTCTTTAACTTAATTTGAAAATAAAGCTAAATTATGTTTTAAAATAATTAAAATACAAACAGTGAAATATAAATAAGGTATTTGGATAAAAAATGATACCCTATTTGTGTAAAGAATAATATAGAATTTAATTTTGCTTTTATTCATGCTTTGCCTAGAGAAAAAAAAGGGAAGTATTATAATCCTGGGGCTATGATAAAAATAATCAGAAGGGGAAAAAAAAACCCCAGGAAAGAAAAGTTAGTCCCTCACTGAACAGCTACCCTATTCCTATTGTTAAGCGTTTATTATTGTTCATCTCTTAGAGGACCTGAGATTTCACTGATTAAGGAGGCCATTCCTTTACAATGCCAAAATATGTTTCCAACATCACCTTCCTCTGTTCTTCTGAAATTCTAGTTAAGCTGAACTTAAGCTGATCTTCTCTCTCTCCATCTGTGCACTCCTTTAATTTAAAAAGCAATTTAGCTGGAATAGATCTCAACTTCACTTCTGTATATTCTTAGTTGGGCTCAGAAATCACCTTATAAGAATAACACCTGGAAGTCTTTCTCCCTTATCCAAGGAGAAGTACTCTTTTTTTACCTCTGAATTTCCCTAACACCTTTTTTTATGGCACTTTTCACATTCTAATTTGTGTCAGCCTTACTACTCCTCTAAATCCTGTTTGATTTCTGCAAAGAGTTTGAGATTGCATTAAAATGGATCTTTGAAGATAAATGGCTGCTTAACAAGTATCCTGCAGAGGTATGGTATTCATTTGGGATTATGACCCTTAATCTTGCCTTTTACAGTTTTAGATCTGGGATGAGATTTCTCTGGTCAGAAAGTTCCAGGAAAGGTAGTTTTCTGAATTTGCTGATGATTGAATTACCCGTCTCTGAATTCTAGTTTTAGTTCAGACTGAATATCTCTTATCTGAAAGGCTTGGGGCCAGAAGTGTTTCAGATTTCAGATTTTGGAATATTTGCCTATGCCTAATGTGATATCTTGGGGTTGGAACCCAGTATTTATTTATATTTCATATACACATAGCCTGAAGTTAATTTTATATAATATTTTAAATAATTTTTTTGCATGAAACAAAGTTTTGACTGCATTTTAACTGTGACCCATCTCATGTGGTCAGGTGTGGAATTTTCCATTTGCAGAGTCATATCTGTACTCAAGAAATTTTGGATTTTGGAGCATTTTGGATTTGGGATGCTCAACCTGTACTTAGAGTTAAAAGAAGACTGAATTGCTATTTTTGAACTGGGTGATGGGACCTAGCCTTCTCTGAGGGCAGCAGCATATATTCAGAGCTTACAGGTCACTCCTTTTGAACTGGGTTTCCCTGGGGAAAAAAATAGGCAAGTTGTGTTCAATTACCCTGTGGACTATCAACTGTAGTTACCTGCTACACTAAAGAGACTTGCTTGTAAACCCGTGAGTCATCATTTATCTTCACCACCGCTGTGTAATCAAATCTAATAACTTGCCTGGCAATAGTATGTCTCCTAAATTCTGTGCCTTATACTTATCAGACACTTACACCAAGGTTATATTAGCAAGCTTAGACCCTATTTGAATCCCAGCAATTCAAGAGGGCTAATTATTGTGTCATTCTACTCAGCTTCTTAAGACAATGACTGTAAATTTAGGATATCTACAATTATCAAGTTTATATAACTGCACTTGAAAAACTGAGTTGGTACAGACCTTGTTAAGGTGATTTGTATTGACTATCTAGATATCAGCTCTTAAAATATAGCTCAGCTCACTGACCGTTACTTTTGACATCTCTTGTAATCGTTCATTTGCCTTTGACAACTCATTCCCAAGTGAGTAAAAAAAGAAAAACAAACTCAATTTCTTCCACCATACTCTGACAGCACACTTCTGATACCAGATGTGTGGGGATTTCCTTGCAAGGAAGCAAGCAAGCAAGCAAACAAACAAACAAGCAATTCTATAGTAGACATTAAGCTAGGTGTCCTATAATTCAATGATTTCTTTTTCTCTTTCCTTTCTCCCTTCCCTTCCTCCCCTCTCTTTCTTTCTTTCTTTCCTTCTTCTTTCTTTCTTTCTTTCTTTCTTTCTTTCTTTCTTTCTTTCTTTCTTTCTTTCTCTCTCTCTCTCTCTCTCTCTCTCTCTCGCTCTCTCTCTCTCTCTCTCTCTCGCTCTCTCTCTCTCTTCCTTTCTTCTTTTTTTTTTTTGTGACTGATCCTCACTCTGTTGTCCAGGCTGGAATGCAGTGGCATGATCTCAGCTCACTGTAACCTCTACCTTTTGGGTTCAAGTGATTCTCCTTCCTCAGCCTCCGAGTAACTGGGATTACAAGCACATGCCCACACATAGCTAATTTTTGTATTTTCAGTAGAGATGGCGTTTTGCTGCATTGGCCAGGTTGGTCTTGAACTCCTGACCTCAGGTGATCTGCCTGCCTCGGCCTCCCAAAGTGCTGAGATTACAGGTATGAGCCACTGTGCCCAGCCTAATTCAATTATTTCTGACACCATCTACCTGGAGATAGCAGCAGATCACACTGGTTAAGGATTCAGTCCCATAAAACTGATGCCCACTCCTGATGCCAATATCAAGCCTCAGGTTATTTTTTTGCCTGTGCTTCTGACCAACCATCTGTAAATCAGGGTTCCCACAGCCCCTTCCCTGGGTTCAGGTAATTTGCTAGAGCAGCTCACAGAACTCAGGGAAGCATGTTTACTGGATTATTACAAAGAATACTTTAAAGAATTCAAATAAACAGTCAGATGAGGAGATAAAATGGACAGGCCTGAGTACAGGAGCTTCTGCCCCTTTGGATTTGGGGGCATGCCACCCTCCTGGCTTGTGGACATATTCTTGTTCACCTTCCTGGAAGCCCCCACATGGTTGGCTATTCACAAGTTCTTCAGACCCAGTCCTTTTTGATTTTTTTATAGGAGCTTCATTTTATAGGCATGACTGATTGAATCATTGGCCATTGGTGAGCAATTTAAGCTTTAGTCCCTCTCCTCACCCTGGAGGTTGGGGAGTGAGGCTGAAAGCCCCCATCCTCTAATCCTATCTTGGTTTTTCCGATGACTGGCCTCCATCCTGAAGCTACCCAGGAGCAGCAGTCTCAGTCAACTCATTGGCATACAAAAAGACACTTTGGAGATCCTCAGGATTTTAGGAGTTGTATGCCAGGAAACAGGCATACAACTAAAACCAAATATATATTTCACAATATCACACCAAGTCTGACTTTAATAACTTTCCTAACAACTATTAATAGTCATGGAACTACTAGCCTGTTTATCTTCTGCTTTCTACAGTTTTGATTTATGTAATTTCATCGAGGTGTGTATTTATATGGTGCTGGGGCAAGACATGATGGGATTCTTGAACTAATATGAGAACCTGTCATTTGACCTGTAACTCTTAATTCTAAATAGCTAAATTAATGTATGCTATATTGAAATTGTTGAAAGATCCTGGATAAAGGTAGAATACAATAGAGTAGTGGTGTGGTGTTATTCTGAAAGGAGAAATCTCTCTTTGACTTGCATATTAATTAGGGAGTGGACTTTGGTAGAACATACAGATTTTTCTATTTGAATGTTGCCCTGGGTGGTATGTTACTCTTTTTTTCCAGTATTTGCCACTCCACATGTAGGCATTTGCCAGTGTGAAATAATCAAAAGGATAAGAATCCAGCTTAAGAGAGTTTATTCAAACACAAAGCTGAGGATGACCATCCAGGAAAACACAAACTCCAAAGAAATAGGGTCAGTGCTTCAAAGTTGAAAAGTTAAGATATTTGTATAGGCAGAAAACAGACATTTAGCAGAATAACATTTTCCACACAAAGTTGGTTTATGAGTTATAGCAGTTTGATTAGTTACAGCTTATTTGCTTTCTTTTTCTAATTTAAAAGAATATATTTAACATTCCATCTTAGAAAACAGGTCTTTGTATAGGAGAAGAAAGAGAGAAGTTAATTTATAATGAAGATAAACAGTAAAGAGGGAAGGAGTCTTCTCTGGCACCTTTTAGTTTTTTGCAGCATTTAGCAAAGCAATGTAAGTAAGGAAAAAAAGGCTAATTTGTAATCAGGGAAACCAAGTTTATATCTGCCTAGGTTACAGCCGCCTGTTAGTGACTGAGGTCCCATAATCACATACCTTTAAGGCTCAAAATAAAAGTTCCAAAAGTTTGGTTTTGAATTACATATTGTCACACAGAGATAATATGAAGAATGAGCATTGTCACGGAGATGAGTTCATTGGGTGCTATTATGTGCTTACTGCTTGTTTTTTGCCTACGCTAATAATAGTTGTCAAAACCTGTGAGGTTAGGGAACAGAAAAATTTTAAAACTATACTTTAGTCCAGTAGTTCTCAGTGAGGTCACTATATCAGAAACTCCGTCTTATAAGAACTTATTAGAAGTGCAGATTATCTGTCCCCACCCCAGACTTAGTGAATCAGAAACCAGCATGAGACCAGCAGCCTATGTTTGAAGAAGTCTTCAAAGTAATTCTGATAACCTGCTTTAGTTCGGGGATCAGCAGTCTACAGCCTATGGACCTAATTTGGTCTATAACTTGTTTTTTGTAAGTAAAATTTTATTGAAACAAAACCATACCTATTTGTTTATTTCGTTTATGGATTCTTTTGTGCTACAGCGGCAGAGTTGAGTAATTGCAACAGAGAACTTATAGCCAAAAGTATAAGTTCTTTTTACCATCTGGTTCTTTACAGAAAAAGTTTGCTGACTCCTGCTTTAGGCCTTAGGCACTAGAGGCCCAAATTCTGAATGTATGAGAATATATTCGCTAATTAAATTGAAGACCATGAAGAAAAATGATGAAATTTTTCATGGCTTTAAAAAATTTTAACCTGTTATTTTTCCCTTTTAGTCAAGGATGCAATTTAAACGGGCCTTTTAATTCAAATCGACTGCCTATCCCGAAACAAAGGTCATCTTCTATATCACTGACTCACCATTTAGGTCTGCGAAGAGCTGGTAAGAAATCATTCTTTATGACTCAAATACGGGGTTTCTCAAAGTATATGGCAGTATAAACACTTTTCATTACACATTTATAGCTAGTTTTGAATACAATTTCATGTGTTGTGAGTTAACATGACTAAGCAGTTTGGGTTGGCTGCTAATTGACTGTTAATTCTTTCAGTAAGCAGTTTTAGAACATCTCTGTACCAAGTGCTTTGCTAAGCAGTAGGGATTCAGAGATAAAATATAGAACTATTTAACCTGAATGGTTGCAGACCCAGGACAAGGGAAAATCTTCAAGAAAGAGTATTTCTTTTGTAGAATGGTAATTATGGAGAAAAAAAAATTAGTACTAGAACAGAAAAAGCCATGACTTCATCTTGGAAAAAAAATTCTAATAGGAATTTTCTTTATATTAAAAGATTATAGAATGCTTAAAATCTTGGACAAAAGATATTTTAACAAATATAACATAGGAATAGCAAAGCAATACAGATATTCTGCTTTTAAATTACATTATGGCTGATATGACATAGGTACAATTTCGTGATTGGGATATACAATTACAAAATTCTTTTATACACAATAAACTATAAAGCATGTGAAGGTCAGAAAATATTGTCAATAATCAAGCAGGCATTAGAAAAAAGATCTACATATGATGTTGTTTTATTTTACAGTTTTTACAATATCAATGATGTTTTAAAGGAAATAGAAGGAATAATGGCCAAAATGAATGGATACTTTGAATAGAGAACTAGAACACTGGTAAAGAAATGGACAGTCTAGAACTAAGAAATGTGCTTGATTAAATTAAAAGCTTATTCAATGGTTTAAGAATAGATTGGTCACAACAGAATATAAAAGTAGTAAAGTTGAGGTCAGGGAAATAGAAAATATCCAAACTGAAGCACAGAGAAGGAAAAATACATAAATAACAGAACAAAGTTTAAGAGAACATATGGGACACAGAAGTTCTAAAATATGTGTGACTGAAGTCCCAGAAGGAAAGCAGAGAAACAAAAGGACAGAATAATTTACCAAAACTAATAAAAGAAAGCAAACAGCAAATTCATAAAGTGCAGTGAGCCCCAAGCAGGATAAATACTAGAAAATCACAACTACATATATGAGTCAAGGCTCTAAATTATAAAGAAAAAAGTTTCAAAAACAACCAAATAAAGATAGATTATTTTTCTGGGAACAACAATAATACTGACAGCGACTTGTTATCAGCATCTGTGAACTTCAAAAACACTGGAATGGCATATTTTAAAAAGTGTCAAAAGAATAAAACTTGCCAACATAGCATTCTTTATCCAGTGAAGAAATATCCTTGAAAAATTAAATTGAAATAAAAATTTTTCTTTTAGTATCCTCACTGCCCCACCCCCAACAGTAACTGTGGTGATAGGTATGTTAATTAATTTGATTGTGGTAATCATTTCACAGTAAATATGTAAATCAAGTCGTCATGTTGTACACCTTGAACACAGGCAGTTTTTGTCAATTATACTTCAGTAAATCCGGAAAAGAATCTTTTACTAAATCAGATGAGAAGCTAGAAAAAAAATACATTTTTTTTCAAACAAACAAAAGCTGAGAGAATTTGTAGGTGGCAGACCTGTGCTGCTAAGATTCCGTAGAGGAAGTTTCTTAGGAAGGAGGAAAATTATCCAGATTGAAGCATGGAACTGCAAGAACAAACAAAAAGCACTGACTGGTAAGGCTGAATTGATGGGTGAAGATTAAAAAATATTGATGGGCAAACACAATAATAACTTTCTTATAGCATTTATAAAATACATAGTCAGATAAATGATAACAATAGCATAAAGGGTAGGGAAGGGGTAAATGAACTTAAATTTGTTGTAATGTACTAGTGATGCTAGAAAAATAGCAAAAAGTTCTAATTTAAGAGAAACTAATATTCAAAGATGAACATCGTAATATCCAGGGGCCAATTTAAAGACCAATAGAAAACTATATAACTAAAAAGCTAATAGGGAGGTAAAATGGCATGATTTAAAAAAAACTCATATGTTGCAAAAGAATCTGAGAAAAGAAAAGCAAAGACAGAAGAAATGCATAAAAAATAAATAGCAGCATGGTGGATTTTAAACACACTTTTTTACATTAAATATACATCTTGGGGATAGAAGGAGGGATCTGACTAGAGTTGTCAGTATATTACCTGAAATGTCAAGTTTTCAACAAAAATTGGACTTTACACTCCAATTAAAACACAAAGATTAGGCCAGGCACTGTGACTCAAACCTGTAATCCCAGCACTTTGGGAGCCTGAGGTGGGCAGGATAACCTGATGTCAGGAGTTCAAGACCAGCTGGCCAACATGGTAAACCCCATCTCTACAAAATACATAATACAAATTCAAAAATTAACAGGATGTGGTGGTGGACACCTGTAATCCCAGCTACTTGGGAGGCTGAGGCATGAGAATCTCTTGAACCCAAGAGGTGGATAATGTGGTGAACCAAGAGGATGCCACTGCACTCCAGCCTGGGCAACAGAGCAAGACTCCATCTCAAAAACAAAGTAATCTGACTGCTCAGTGGTTGATGTCCAAATTATACTGATCCCCCAGGGATGACATTTAGGAAACCATGTTTAAAATACAATTAAAAACACAAGAGAAAAAGCTAGTAGAGAACTAGGTAATTACACATTGCAGGAGAAACAGAATCTGTACAATTAGTGACTTAGGAAAGTCACTAAGCAAAGAATCAGAAAGAAGAAAACAAACACAAAACCAGCAACATAATAAACCTTTGGTGTTGGAGGGATCTGATATCCAAACTGTTACAGTATTTTATTTAAAATATCAAATTTTCAACATAAATTTGAAACATGCAAAGATACAAGAAATTTTTGACATGTACACAAGGAAAAGGTAACCAACAGAAATTATCCCTGAACTGGATTGGATTTTGGACTTAGTATAAAACAAAATTATAGCACTGTTTTAATAATTATGAAGTAATTGCTATTTTTATTTAATATTGGATTAGAGGTTCTAGTCAGAGCAATTAGGTAAGAAGGAATAAAAGGCAAAAGTAAAACTGTATTTGCAGATGTCATGAGGTTGTATATAGAAAATCCTAGGAAATTCATTAAAACCTATTATAATCAATAAATAAGTTTATCAATGTGGCAGGATATACAAAAATCAATTTTATTTCTATACACTAACATTAAGGAATCAAAAACTGAAGTTACAAAAAGATTTCCATTTATAGTTAGCATTAAAAAAATCTTGGAACTGGAAGCATTCCCTTTGAAATCCGGCACTAGACAAGGATGCCCTCTCTCACCACTCCTATTCAATATAGTACTGGAAGTTCTAGCCAGAGCAATCAGGCAAGAAAAAGAAATAAAGAGTATTCAAATAGGAAACGTGGAAGCCAAATTGTCTCTATTTACAGACGACATGATAGTATACCTAGAAGACCCCATCACCTCAGCCCAAAAACTCCTGAAACTGATAAGCAACTTCAGCAAAGTCTCAGGATATAAAATCAATGTGCAAAAATCACAAGCATTCGTCTACACCAATAACAGACTTAAAGAAAGCCAAATCAAGAACGAACTGCCATTCACAATTGCTACAAAAAGAATAAAATACCTTGGAATACAACTCACAAGGAACGTAAGGGACCTCTTCAAGGAGAACTACAAACCACTGCTCAACAAAATCAGAGAGGACACAAACAGATGGAGAAACATTCCATGTTCATGGTTAGGAAGAATTAATATCGTGAAAATGGCTATACTGCCCAAAGTAATTTACAGAATCAACGCTATCCCCATCAAGCTACCATTGACTTTCTTCACAGAGCTGGAAAAAACCACCATGAACTTCATATGGAACCAAAAGAGAGCCCGCATAGCCAAATCAATTGTAAGCAAAAAGAACACAGCGGGGGGCATCACACTACCGGATTTCAAACTATACTACAAGGCTACAGTAATCAAAACAGCATGGTACTGGTACCAAAACAGAGATATAGACCAATGGAACAGAACAGAGGCACCGGAGGCAACACAACATATCTACAACTATACAGTCTTTGATAAACCTGACAAAAACAAGCAATGGGGAAAGGATTCCCTATTTAACAAATGGTGTTGGGAAAACTGGCTAGCCATGTGCAGAAAGCAGAAACTGGACCCCTTCCTGACACCTTCCACTAAAATTAACTCCAGATGGATTAAAGACTTAAACATAATACCTGGCACCATAAAAACCCTAGAAGGAAACTAGGCAAAACTATCCAGGACATAGGAGTAGGCAAGGACTTCATGAATAAAACACCAAAAGCATTGGCAACAAAAGCCAAAGTAGACAAATGGGACCTAATGAAACTCCATAGCTTCTGCACGGCAAAAGAAACAGTCACTAGAGTGAATCGGCAACCAACAGAATGGGAAAAAATTTTTGCAGTTTACCCATCTGACAAAGGGCTGATATCCAGAATTTACAAAGAACTCAAACAGATTTACAGGAAAAAAACAAACAAGCCCATTCAAAAGTGGGCAAAGGATATGAACAGACACTTTACGAAAGAAGACATATATGAGGCCAACAATCATATGAAAAAATGCTCATCGTCACTGGTCATCAGAGAGATGCAAATCAAAACCACATTGAGATACCATCTCACGCTAGTTAGAATGGCGATCATTAAAAAATCTGGAGACAACAGATGCTGGAGACGATGTGGAGAAAAAGGAACACTTTTACACTGTTGGTGGGAGTGTAAATTAGTCCAACCATTGTGGAAGATGGGGTGGCGATTCCTCAAGGCCTTAGAAATAGAAATTCCATTTGACCCAGCAATCCCATTACTGGGTATATATCCAAAGGACTATAAATCGTTCTACTATAAGGACACATGCACACGAATGTTCATTGCAGCACTGTTTACAATAGCAAAGACCTGGAATCAACCCACATGGCCACTGATGATAGACTGGATTGGGAAAATGTGGCA